ATACTAAATCTTATATTGATAAATATCCACATTCTTTATGTTTTGAGTTTCATGCCTTCGTAAACCATTGATGTTTTTACACTCATAAATTACACTTGATTTGATTTTAATTTACAAAATTAAAGACTTTTTTTAACATCAAATTTTTTTGTTAAATTGGGCAGAATTGATAATTTCTGTTCCTACTTCATCAGCTGCTTCTGAAAGGATTTGATTCGCCTTTCCTTTATGCATGATAAAAAGAGAAACAATTTGACACCTGAATGCGTTTTTAAATTGGCGTGTTTTTATTTCAATCACAAATTAAAAACACCGACAATGATAATATAGATATTATGATGATTGAAATGTGAGAGACGAAAATGATGAAAGTGATAACGACGATGAAAATGAGGATATTGTAACAATTAGAATAGAAAGTAGTGAAGAAGAGTGATAATAATATTGAAAATGATATTTAGTTACTATTACTATTTATACAATGCGCATGTAATTCCCATCTCTACACGTGACTGTAGAGTATCGACAATTTTACATTGACGTGTTTGTTTTGCAAACGTTTATAATTTGTCGTTTAAAATAATATATACAATGATATAAACGGATACATAATAAACCGTTTTCTTTTTCATTTAGTAGTGGTTCAAAGTCACGAGACTTATGAAATTTTGATTTTTAACACTGTAGACACATAAATTTTTAAGGCTATTAAAAAATTACGCTTAATGAATTCCAAAAATGGATATCTCGCTTTCCATTTTATATATTACAATGACTATAATATGAAGAGTAATTCGAATGCAGAAAAAATGAATCCGGTATTTTTTAAATCTTGTAAGTCACATATAAGTCATAATCTCCAAAATACGGTATAAATCATATAATCATTGAAACGTCATAATATACAATTAGATTATAAATGGATAATTTTACAATTATACCAGTCGCAACAAAATAGAGAGAGTTAATTCGAACGAAACTCTGGTGAGCGTATGCATGAACTTGTTCATATAAAAAAAAAGAATTGAGATACTGAAATTCCGATTGGCTAATTTGAATTTGAATTTGAATTACAAAAAAAGTGTTGAAAACGTTTGATAATATTAAGGATTGTTTGACGAAGATATTGACAAAGAACCTTATTGGGAAGATCTGAGATAAATTTGTATATAAGACTTGGATTTTGTTGCATATCTTTTTTTAAAACAATCTGCATTTGAATACTTTAAAATTATTGGAATAAATGCAGTAGTTCACATTGATAAAATAATAATAAAGAAATAAATATTCAAGTCATCTATACTCTATTATTAATAATCATTGTTGGAAGATATAAAAAATCACGTGTTATGTGTAAACTAAAAATTTTTATTATTATGAGCAATTAATTATTAACGTGGACACAAAATGGACTTCATAAAAATTTTTTTTTTAAAAAATAAAAAATAAAATTAAACAATGAGTGACTCAAGTACAACTACACTTACAGTACTTACCTTAAATTGCTGGTACTTTTTTAAAGATTTTTAGCTTCATGTTACTTTTCATTAAATTAATATTTGCTTTCCAATGTAAAAAACGAATTAGGGGTTTGAAATTCATTTCTAAAAAGCTTCAACAACGCATGGAAGCAATTGCCGATAAGCTTTCACAATCGGATTATGAGATAGTTTGTTTACAAGAAGTTTGGGTTTATGACAATTATGAGTTGATCTGTAATAAAACAAGAAAAAGATTTCCATATTCCAGGTTTTATTCAAGGTATATAAATCATAAATAAGAAAAAGGCTGGAAAAAATATTTTTTATTAGATTAATTATAATTAATTACTTTGTAAATTTCTTTTTCTTCGATGATCTGAAAAAAAGTGGTGTTTTCGGAAGTGGACTTGTAGTCCTTTCACGTTATCCAATAGTTGAAGTAAATTTCCATAAATATCGATTAAATGGTCATCCAATCAAAGTTACACATGGTGATTGGTATGTGGGTAAAGGTGTTGCTAGTGCTGTTGTTGACCATCCTGTAGCTGGATTAATTGAAATATTTAACACTCATGTAAGTATGTATATATACATACAATGTATTCACTATATCACATATTCTATTTGTGAGTAGATATTTAATTATATACTAATTATTTATATTTCCATGCAAATATGTAAATAGACACATGCAGGCTATGGATCCAAAAATAATACGGATGTTTATTTAGGTCATAGAACTTCTCAAGGTTGGGAAATTTCCAATTTGCTTAGAGTTTCTACTTCGAGAGGTCGTAATGTTATTGCTGTAAGTAATTTTTTATTCTTTTCATTCATTTCTATTCTTCCCCCAAAGATTTATGATAAAATTATTTTTTTTACATGACAAAAATTTTAGCTTGGAGATTTTAATAGTGAACCGGATTCTATTCTGTATAAACTTGTGACAACACATGGACAAATGACTGATTCTTGGGCTTCACAAAATACTTCAAGTTCGTCGAATGTCTCAACGACATCTCTTAATAATGATGCTGCTAATAATCCATTTGATCCAGCAACGTCTATCACTAAAAATGGCTACACCTGTGACTCACCTTTAAATACATGGTCAAATATATCTTTCAGACAAGCAAATCATAACCATTATGGTGGTGAACGTATCGATTACGTTTTTTATCGCAAAACATCAAGATTTTGGTGCAGTGGGTCACGTGTAGTGTTCACAGAAAAAATTCCAGAGTTAGGAGTTAGCTACTCTGATCATTTTGGTGTAGAAGCAAAATTTACACTTGTTAATCGTGATAAAAATTCTGTCATCCCACTTTCAGTCTGGGATTTTGAACCCCGTGAGACTTTATATGAATTAGACACCAATACACTCAAGACTTTAATGAATCTTTTCACAAATGATTTAGATAAATCGAAAACAACCTCGAAGATATACATATTTCTATTTTATGCTTCATTTCTTTTGATGTTTGGATTAATTTTGTTACAAATATTACTCACTGCCAATGCTATAAGCCAAGATTATCAATACTTGGGTCTCATTTTTATCATAATAAATGGTCCTATTGCAGCTGTTGCCGCCATTCTAGGATTGATTGGTTTGCTTTTTGGCAATGAAGAACGGAATATCCTTAGAGGGTTATTAGATGAATTGGAGACTTTTTTAAATGGAAAAAAAATTCTTGAAAGCAGAACAAGTATCGTTGGAATTCAAGAAGAAATTGGTTATAATAATGATGATGATGATGATGATGATGACAGCATAAAAGACGATAACAATGATGAAAGTAACGGTAAAGGTAAAGGTGTTGATAATAAGGAAATGGGAGTAGAAGATCTTTAAATATTACTGGATTCAATGCAGTAGACATTGATAAATAGATAAAAGGTTATTGATTTTTTTATAAATTTCAATGCTAATTTAATAATTTAAATTTATTATTTTATTGTCTTTTTTTTGATAACAACTTGTAATAATATAATAATATACAGAGCATTTTAATATACACGCGTGTAGTTTAATAATTATAATTATTTATTTTTTATATGATTTAAAATTATTTATTTATTTATTATTTATAAATTTACTTATTTAATAACATTTTATAGAACACACAAGCATACATTTACATAATATATATACGATATGTAATATACACTAATTTAATAATTATAACAAGTTTTTACTATAAAAGGTGAAGTTGTTCTAAAATTTTAATTTAACATTAATGTAAATCTTCTCTGTATATATTTTTTTAACCATTTGGCGAAGTCATATTTGATTTATACTTTTCAATCTTGTATATTTCTGAATTACAGAATAATCAGTTTTTACACAGAAAGTCAAAATTTAAGATTTCAAGCACATCCAAAGAAGGCGTTCTGCTTATTGCTACATATACTTAACCAGGAGCAAACATATTTTCATCAATACTAATAGTTTTGTGAATCCCTATGTTTTATGTACAATTAGGGTGAGGGCTTTCTGCAAAGGAAAATGTTAAGGATTTCCTTTTGCACAATTATTTTTGTGATGCCATAGGGTTGTTGGAAAGTCATTTCAATATTTTGTTAATCAATTATTTTGGTTATCACATCCATTTCAAATTTTATCATCAAATAACTTATTGTTAAGGCTACCCTTGCACCTTCTTGCAGGATGATATATTTGAGTAGGTTGTATAATGAAAATTTTCATCTTGTACCTGATCAAGTGTATTATAATTGATTGCATCTTTTGCAGCTGAGATAACGAACCAGGTCCTTCTTCATCAAGAGGTAAATGTTTAGAAATCAATTCATTAATTTTATCCGTTGTTTCGCGTGTAAGCCTACCATACAGGTAAATTCGGGTTGATAACTTTATTCATTATAATTTTTCGGATAGGTGGTCAAATCACAACTCCTGGAGCATGTCGTAGAAATCAAAGGTTTTCTTCTTGTTTTTAAGAATAAAGGAACAAACACTGGCTTACTATCAATCTGGTTGTGATAGATCTCTGATTAAAATCAGCAAACATTTTTGAATTTTATAATGAACCGAGCATGTCGCAGATGAAAGAGAAAAGAACGTTTGACACCATGGAATCTTATCAATTATAATTGCTTTGTCATAGGTAAAGCCTCACAATGTGATTATGTTTGCCTTGTTTGTTTAATTCAGAGTGAATGGTTTTGTCTCCAACATTTGTGCAGCTATACCAATTGGAATATTGAGCAGATAAATTGACTTTATTAGACACATGAAAATGGGTGGCATATATGGTTTACCTGTACCAGCAGATCATCTCGTGAAAAAGTATGATATTTTCCTTATTCCAGATTACGCAATGTCCTTTGTCAAACATCAATGTAGAAAGAGGATTATTAAGATTGAATAAAAATCTGTGATTGAGACCTGAATTTTTATATATTGTAATTTTAACGATTGCACATTCATATTGATATGGAAACAAGGTGTAAGATCTTTGTGATTAGGTGTTGAAAAAAAGAACAGCTCACTATCTTCTACTCTATATAAGGCGAATCTGACAAAGTTTTTTCTTTGAGCTACATAATGATTTTCTTGGTCGATTGTACAGATTAATTTATATTTGGAACAGGTGGTTTTAAAAGTATCATTATTAGAACATCTAATATATTCATCAATCGCATCATCCCAATAAGGTTTCTCACATTCACCATCTCCTTCAGAATCAGCCAATTATAAACGGTTCGGTTTGATAGCTCCTGAATGAGCAGAAGGAAAGTATTGAACACTAACGAAAATTATCAATTCTGTGCTACTTAACCTCGGTAACTATCTTGGCTATCAATATCAAATACCTCAGTTGGGTCTGATTTACTAGTTTGTTTGACACTAACACTAATAATAATAACGTTACTATTACCATTACAAAAGACAAGTTTTACTATGATTCCTGTGTATTAAAGTGGCACAACATGGGGTTCTTAATGGCGTCTACCTAGCAACTGCCGTCACATAGTATTGTAGTTGAAGCCTTAAAGCCTATATGTATGCTTGTTTGGTTACTTAACTTTTTTTTTTCCTAATTTTTTCTATTGTCACAGATTATTCATCGCGGTTTCTGTCACTGATCAAGATCGTCTTCAACGCGTAACATACTGCACGAACATTGAATTTTATAGTATTATTAGTATCAGATATTTAAAATCAAATTTATAAAAGTTATCTGCGATTTTCCTAGTCAAACCTCATTATGCCATCTCGCTTGTTCATAGATAGCATTGTTCAATGTTATTTTCAATGGATATGCCTGGTCTTTTCACATTTCAAGGCCTCCACACTATAGGACAGGAATGGATAATTTGCCATCAATTATTTTAATAAAATTATTTTTACAAATTTTTAAATTGCGGTTGTATCTTGATTATAATTACCATTTGCACATTCCGTATTAGCTGTCTAAAATATGGATTTATACAATCGCTATATATTCATAGCTTCTAAACTTATTAGGATGTAAATGATATTTGTCTCGTCCACAATCAGGGTTGGCAAAACTATTAATTCCTGGTATCATATAACAGTTTCACACCATTGATTCTTAATTTGGTTTTTATTAATATATTTTATTAGAATTATAAAAAATAATTACATAAATGTACATAAACTAACTATACTAATACTAATATGCTGTATCTGACATTATTATTATTAAACTATCCTCTTGGTCATTCACATGAAAAGGATTTCTTGTAGCAAGTAGCATGACGCTAACCCTTTAATCAATTTTTTCTTTCCGATACTTTTAGTCGACATAGTAAAACCCTTGCAATGATTCATTACATTCACTGCCAAAAGCCAAAACAGACAACTAATCGAAATTTCTAAAAAATTTGACAAACCTATCTGTCAAAGTCTATATAACGATATCGAAACAAATAAATCATAATAAGCTATTCGTCGATTAAGCTTTATTAACTAATCACTTACCATACTAAGACCACGAATCCGCCATTTATATGCTTCCACTACAAATGGTTCGTCCATTTTACCGCAGCAGTTTGTTCTTAAAGTTTGTTTTAAGTTAAAAAAATTTTTTTTAAAGAATAATTTTTCGAGTTTTTCCTTGAATATATTTCGTAAACATATATGAAGCAGTGCACACTTGATTAAATTGTTTTATAACACAAAAAAACATGGAATTCAAAAAGAAGTGATTTTCATTATATTAAAAATCAAGGAAACTATACTATATGTGAAAGTCGAGATTTATAAATAAACATTACGACATTAGTATGCTCATATATGAGCTGTGTTGAGGATATAAAAGTCGCCATTGATAAATAATATTTTGGGTTTCTATGGAATTTTAGATTACTCAAAACAACCAGAATACATAATTCACAGAAATCGCTTACCAATTTATGAATTAAAAAGTATAACAGTCACCCGTGATGTCACACGATCAATATAGTGACTGCAATAACTATGTAAAATTTATGTGTAACATTTCGATTTTTACTATTAAAATTCAACATAA